TTTCTGGCTCAGCTGATGCAGGGGGTGTGGGTGTGGGGGTGCATGGGGATGCATTGCCATTTCAGGTCCTGGTGCAGTGTGGTGTGACGGTAGGACCATCCCACAGATGTTCCCATCCACAGATCCCCACCAAGACAAGGTTTTTCCCGTTCCCTCAAACCGAGAGGCATCAGCCCTCTGTCTTCTCCATTTTGGATGAGCAACAGGGATCCCATGAGTGTTGTAGGGGAGCAGCCAACCGCATCCTACCAGGATGCTGCTGGAAAGGAGGAGTCAGGACTCAGGCCATTAGATGGGTGCTGAGAAGAGATATCCCAAAGGAAAAGACAGCATCTCCCCCAGTCACACGCTGCTCGATGCTACCCAGCCAGGGGCTACAGTCTCAGTTACAGTTAATGACTTTCATTATTTTAATCTTCTGCTAGAATTTAATGTTTTTTGAATAAAGTGGGGGCTGTGCAGCCTCCATGGGAGTCTCCCCTACCCACCACTGGGTCTTACCCACTGAAGCAAATGGGAAGGGAAGGAGGCACCCCTCCCCCAAGAGATGCTGAGCAGAGATTACAGAGTTAACTTTACTACTCCATTCAGTTAAACCAAATTGGATTTGCCAAGCTGGCAGCCCCTCCTTTGCCTTCTCTGGCCAGTATCAATCTAATTAAAACACTCATTCTCCCACGCAGCTTTTCTTCTTCTCAATTCAACTTACTGGAAAAGCAGAAAAAAACCCCCAGCCTCTTAAGGGCCGGGGCTGGGGTCAGCTGGCAGAGCTCATCACAAATTGCCAAAGCAGCATCAGCACAGCAGCATCGGAGCGAGGACCCTGCCACAGGGCTGGGAGGGACCATGGCAGCATCTCTCTGCTTGCCCACACAGGCTTCTCAAATATGGGCACTTGAAACTCACGTCTAATAAAGCCCCAGGACAGCTGATGTAGGGATGTCAAAGGCAGAATGGCTTTCATGTTGGAAAGAGACTCTCCTCATATCAGCTGGAGCCTCTTCCTCAGTTTGCTGCAGAATACAGCATAATAAATTATGTCATAGCACAGCCCTTGCAAAGATGTGTCTAAAACAAATGCATTTCCCCCTTCATCTGCTGCATGGAGTCTGACATGATTTCTCTCTCTCTTTTTGAAAAATTCAGGGTTTCACTATTCAGCTTCTTGGTGTTGATGAGCATCGTTGCTCTCACAGAATTTTCTCCCTGGCACTTGGCACCGGAGGCATTTGCAACCCCAGGGCAGTGGCAGCCCCTGCAGGCTCTCTCTGCTGCAGCGGCTGCAACCACGGATGCGATGTCCTGGGTTGAGGGTGAGGCGGCAGACCCAGGTACGGGGCTTGGTGAAGGGACTTGCCATAGGGTGCACAGGGCAGGTCAAGGATGGTGGTCCTGGTTCCCATCCAGGCATGCCAGGACCGTGTGTGCCTCTTGCCACCAGCTCTGGTTTCTCCTCTCATCCCCACGCATGACCCTGGAGCCTCCAGGATGACCCACATCCCCCAGGGATGTTTGGACACGACCCCCCAGGCTGCTTTCTAGGAACTTACTTTTGCAGTGCTTGACTTGCCCTCTAGATCACCACAAGTCTTCACTTTGGTGTTTCTTCACCCCATTCAGATGCCTGATCCCGGATCCCTAAACACACAGACCTTGCTGGGGAGCTCCCAATGGCACCTCACACGTGACTCTACATCCTTTGCCAGGGGCCACTGGTTTTCAGCACAGGAGCCCCTGCTGAAGCCGGCACCTCTGAGCTCTCCCTCTCAGAGCCTCAGAAGGACAACCTGGGCATGTCAGCCTTTCAGCACGTCTCAGAGTTAACCACAGATAAATAAACGAATAGCCAAAATAAATTACTAAAACAAACAACTGCCTCCAGGATGAAGCATTGCCTTCACACAGCTCTTCTGCCCTTGTCACAGCTCAGCCCCACACCGTGCAGCTCCAGTGCCTTTGGCTGAGGTGTTCTGGATGGTTTTCCACCCATTTCTGTGTCTCAAGGGATCAGGATGGGAAACAAGAGGGAAGCACAAGATGGCAGGAGTCCCATGGCCAAAACCACTGAAGACTTGATGCTGCCAGCAAATCCTCAAGGCTGGAAAACTGCCTTTCGGAGCTGGGGAAATCTTATTCAGCAGGAGCAAAGATTTCCATGGGCAATGATCAGAGCAGCATTTCAGTACAACAGTAGTTGGAAGAGGGATGAGGGACTGCAAGAGGATGGGCAGAGGAATGAGGAGCAGAGCTGGGAAGGTGCCTGGCAGATTTTCCGATGATCTCCTATAGCCAGGATGGAGGCCAACTCAAGGCAGCACTTTTCTCTCTTGAGGAGGATACAAGTTAACATTCATGGACATTTTAATTATCCTGTGAGCAGTGTGTAAGATGTGAGACTCGCTGGCAATGCCATTGGGGTGTCCAGAGAGGTTATGAGGATTTCGGCTGGCCCTGAGCATCAGCTCACCAGCAGCACGGCTCTCTCATGACCACAAGAAAGCAGCGTCTCAAGAGGAGCAGAGCTTTCTGGCATTTTCCTAGAAAATGTTCCTCAGTAGCTTTTTTTTCCTATGCAATAGGAGAGAGAAACCAGCTCCACATTAATCAATTAAGGAGCGGCGGCGGCAAGAGCCTGCGCCGATGGCAGCTCTCAGTTAAGTCCAGTGGCTCGTGCATATTTGTGACTAATGGGCCACATTAATTCCCAAATCGTCTTGGCCTGGCTGGGTGGCTCTGGTGGAGGGAGGTGATTTAAGACAATTGCTGTTTCCATCTTAGGAAGCAGCTATTTACTGATGTTACTGCCCATCGGGGAATACTTTGAAACACTCAAAATCTATCAGCCAGATTTTAACCTCCTTTAGTAGGGGGTGGGAAATGGGTCCTGGAGAAGTGGTGTGGAGCTGGCTGAGGTCACGGGCGGGCAGCCACAGCCCTGCCCCAGCCCGTCTCAGAGAGGGAGCTGCTCCTCCTGCCTACCTCACGGGTGACATTCTTCAACGGCCAGACTTTAGGAACAGAAAAGGGCAGGGCAGCTCCCCCTGAGGGCTTGTCACCTCTTCCCCCCCCGCCCCAAAGCTGGATCAGGTAGGTGCAGATCTGATCAGAGATGCCGATGCAAGGACCCCTTCCAGGACAGTGTTTCTGACCGGATGACCAGAGCTGCTGGGTCCTTTGCTCTGATTAGTTATACGGTGTGCATGCTTTTGTACATGGAGGGATGCAGAGGACCTTGCTGTCACCTCAGGTGCCATCAGCATCCCACCAAAGCAGCTGAATGTGGCTTAGGTGAGCTGGGCTCTGCCCCTTACTCTCCCAGGGTGGCACACAGCTGGGGACAGGCAGGGAGCACGAGGGACTGACCATGGAGCATCTGCAGGGCAGCTCAGGCAGCAGGGAGGAAACAAGAGAAACAAGGAGCTGCACATCGGCTTTGGAGGGCCAGAAGCTCATGGAAAGGCAGCACCTCCCCTGCCCCCCAGAGCCATAATCCCCCAAACTTCCCAACCAGCTTGGCTTAGGACCAGGGTAGGGCTGTTGTTACTCTCCTGAAACACCCTGGCAGTAACCTGCGGCCTCTGCGGGCTCAAGATATTGAAAATAAAAGTCACTATTTTTTAAACGTAGAAAAGGTCAATGGGAGTGCACTGGATGCAATGCGAATCCTTTGCAATTGGGCTGACGATGCTTGGCTCACCAGGCAGAAAGATAGCAAATAAATGAAATTTATTGCTCTTTTCCACGCCCAAAACCACAGACACACACAAAACCAACCCCCAGCTCGCCAAGAGCTCACACCAGCTCTCCCCTAAAATAGTTTCTCCACCACTCAGCCTGCCCACAACACACTGATGTGCAATAAACACTGGAAGGGCTTACCACAAGTAATATGGAAAAACACTACTGGCTGGTGAAATCTTTATACTCCAGCAAGACAACTCTTACAGCACTACAGCTTTTCTGCTCCTTTCTTGTCCTTATCAGAACAAGCACATGCTTTCTCCACAGCATTTCAGACAACCCTGTCTTTGGTTTACTGGCACTGCCATTGCTGTGCTTTCTCACTGCAGGACCAGTACAACACTTCAAGTGACTGGTGAGAAGGACAAGCACAAATAAGAGAAATTCTCTGCAGTTGGAAGTCAGAGTCCAATTTTTAAATTAATACTACAAACCTTGCTGCTAATTGTCTTAAATTCAAAAAGCAAACAAATCAGGCAACCCTCCCCAGACACTTACCCTTCTTAGACAGTTGTCTTTTCCATGTCATATGGGAATTAAAATTGCAGCGGACTATTTATGACTGGATTATTTTTCCTTTCTAATATAAGCATCTCAAGTTTTCCTTTGCCATTTGTCTTTTTTTCTCACTGATGCCCAATAAATCAAGGACATACATATCATAAAATGAAGAACTTTCTCTTCATGATTATAGATGAGTGCAGAATTTCAAGGCAGTGCAAACCCCATGGTACTTAGGTAGGAACCCTCAGCCTTCAGGACTTTTCCCACTGCCTCGTACCTTACTTTTAAGAGTTAAACTTCTACAAAGCATTTCTAAAAGGCTCTGGTATAGAAGGCTGCTGTTTTGACACAGCGAGTATGTGCAGAGGGATTTCATGGACGGTGACCTGACTGATGGGTATCTGAGCATTGCTACCCAGGCAAGAAGTCATACACAAGTAAGGGCAAAGAGAGTTACCAGAACTATTTTGTTCTGTCCTATGGATCCAAATAGAGAATTTAGGTAGCAGGCGTTTCTGTCTCATGTGAAGGCTGCTTTGCTGAAGATCCCAAGGAAGATTAGAAAGGAGATCTTCTTTCAGTAATTTTATGAAGATGATATCTATGCGTCCCTTTCAGC